AACGACGTGCTCTTGATGGACGAAGTGGACCCGACCAACGTCTCGACGCCGTCCGACCCGATCGCGTCCGTCTACGCCAAGGACCAGGTCGTGCTCGCCATCGACAATGCCTCGTTCACGTGGGACAGCACCACGACGCCCACGTTCACGAACGTCAACCTCCGCATCACGCGCGGCGAGCTCGTCGTGCTGCATGGCGCGGTCGGCCAAGGCAAGTCGTCGCTCTGCTCGGCGCTCCTCGGCGAGATGCAAAAACTCACCGGCTCGGTGTTTGTCGGCGGCCAAGTGGCCTACTTTGCGCAGCAGGCGTGGATCCAAAACACCACGATCCGCGAAAACATCCTCTTTGGCAAGCCGTACGACCGCAGCACGTACCAAAAGGTCCTCGACGCGTGTGCGCTGCAGAGCGATCTCGCGTCGCTGCCGGCCGGCGACCGCACCGAGATTGGCCAGAAGGGCATCAACCTCAGCGGCGGCCAGAAAGCGCGCATCGCTTTGGCCCGAGCTTGTTATAGCGACGCCGACATCTTCATTTTGGATTCGCCCTTGTCGGCCGTCGACGCGATTGTGGCCAGCGAGATCTTCACCAAGTGTTTCCTCGGCCTCTTGGCCAAGAAGACAGTGCTGCTCGTGACGCACAACCCCGAGATCATCGAGTCGGCGGCGGTCGCCCGGACGCTGCTGGTGCAAGACGGCCGGCTCATCGAGTCAACGCATGACTCGCCGCGCACGCGTCAAGAAGCAACGTCGGCGGTGACGCCGCTCAAGGCCCGGACGCCGTACTGGGAAGAGTCGGAGATCATCGAGTACCCGGCACCGGGGCCGCGCCACGAGATGCTGGTGACGCCGTCGCTGCGCACGCCGTACAGCTACAACGCGCGCGAGATGCTGTACACGCCGCGCGAGCCGGTGGCGGGCGAGTCGTTTGAAGAGTCGGGTCGTCTCATCGCCGACGAAGAGCGGGCCGAAGGGCGTGTCTCCAAGGAAGTCATCTACGGCTACGTTCAAAGCATTGGCGGCGCCCCCGCGGTCGCTGCGATCATCGTCTTGACGCTGTTGACGCAAGTGCTCAAGGTCGGCAGTGACTTTTGGCTCACGTATTGGTCCAACAACGTCCAGCAGGGAGCCAACGCCACCATGACCGTCGACAGCAACATGGACATTTACGCGGGCCTCGCCATCGGGAGCTGCCTCATGGTGGCAGCGCAGACGTATCTCGTCGTGGAGCTCGGCCTCGTCGGGTCCCAGCGCATGTTTGACGGCATGTTGCGCAGTCTCTTGGAGGCGCCGATGCGCTTTTTCGACACCAACCCGATCGGGCGCGTCCTTAACCGGTTTGGTGACGACATCATGGCATTAGACTTTGGCATCCCGCTCTCGCTCGGCCCGATGCTGTTTGAAGTCTCGTCGACGCTCGCGGCGCTCGGCACGACGATCGTGCTCATGCGCTGGCTTGGGATCCTCGTGCTGCCGCTGCTCGCGTTGTACCTCTACCTTGGCGCGTTCTTCTTGGGACCGCTGCGTGAAGTGAACCGGATTCTCAAGACGACGCGGTCGCCGCTCATTAGCTCCGTATCGGAGGGCATTGACGGCTCGACGACGATCCGCGCATTTGGTGACAAGCAGCTGCGTCGCTTCTACCGGCTCAACACCCAGAAGATCGAGACGTTTTGTGAAGCCCGCGTGACGTACACCGCGATCAACGTGTGGTTCTCGCTGCGCATGTCGCTCCTCGGTAGCACGATCGTCGCGCTGACCCTGTTGGTGCTCGTCTTCCTCCACGAGTCGCTAAGCCCCGGTATCGTCGGCCTTTTGATCACGTACGGTCTCTCGATTCCGGGCACGCTGGCCTTGCTTGTCGGCCTCTGGTCCCAGCTCGAGACGTCCATGATCGCACCCGAGCGCATCCAAGAGTACATTGCGATCGAGTCCGAGGGCGCCCGCGTCACCTCTGTCGCCACCGCCAACTGGCCCACGACCGGCGCCGTCGCCTTTGAGAACGTCAGCTTCCGCTACAAGCCCAACGACCCGCTCGTGCTCCAGAACGTCTCGTTCGCAGTCGCGGGGGGTGAGAAGATTGGCATCGTGGGCCGCACCGGCGCGGGCAAGAGCAGCCTCATGATGGCGCTCTTCCGCATGAACGACGTCGCATCCGGGTCCATCTCGATTGACGGCGTCGACATTGCCTCTGTGGGTCTCCGCACGCTGCGCAGCCACCTCGCGATCATTCCGCAAAACCCCGTCCTCTTCAAGGGCACGCTGCGCAACTACTTGGATCCGTTCGACGAGTACGACGACGCAGCGCTTTGGAATGTCCTCCGGAAGGTGCAGATGGTCGACCGCGTCTCGCAGCACGACGAGAAGCTCCTCGGGCCCGTGGACGAGAACGGCGAGAACTTTAGCGTCGGCGAGCGCCAAATGCTGTGCATGGCCCGCGCGCTCCTTCGGCAAGCCAAGGTCGTCGTGCTGGACGAAGCGACGGCGGCCATCGACCACGCGACGGACAAGGTGCTGCAGCGCGTGATCCGCACCGAGTTTGC